TTCTAATACGCTTTCATGATGTCACCAAAGTCAGCAGAGCACACTGAGATTAACGATGCTGCAGAGAAGCCTCTTTAACAAAGGTCAGGAGATTTAAGACACTGAATGATTAAAAAGAGTAGAAGTGATTTCAACCCCCTTTGATCTTCTGCTTCAGCTGTACCACGTGCACGTGTTTGATTCCTGGAGTGTAATGGTGCTGAGAGCAAACTGATATAAGAAGTCAGGCACACATTAATGTTACGTGAGCAACCATTATGCACAATTACCCTGCAGTCACTCTCTCAGGTTGCCTCATCAGGTGGAAACCCATAAACCTGGGATTCTGCTTCATTATGTTATCAAGTTTAGTCACACTGATCCTCTCATTAGGTAATGAGAGGCAGACGCAGGTTAGCATTACACTGTGCAGGAGGAGACGAGCGGAAGGTGGAAAAGCTGGTTAAGAGGTGACGAGGAAGACGGCGAGGTCGTCTGAGACGGATGACATCAGGGAACTAAAGAGCTCGCTAGGAGGAGATAGAAGGAAATGCAGACGTGGGGCAGGTTAAAGGTTTAAAAAAAAAAGAAGAAAGAAGTGCAGGCAGAGCTTTGGTTACAGCCAGCAACAGGGAGCAGTCTAGTTACACTCCCTTTCTGACGTTTGACCTGTTTGCACGTGTTTGTGTTTGTGTGTGTGGCAGCCACAAGAGACGGCGGGCAGGCTCTCACAGCACGTCCACCGTCAACGCAGAGCAAGAAAAGAAGCCTGGAAGGTAAGGAGAAATCCTCCAGGGGAAGCTGGATATTTTTTAAATGGATAAAAATAAGGCATTTCCTGGCCTGAAAGCATGTGCGATTTAGTTCATGACTTGGCTTTAAGCACTGGCTTTGTCAGACACCATTTTGGCCTTGGGGTTAGTTTTCTCAAATTGGATCCAGAATAAATAAGATTAAAGCATCATTACTAACCTTCCTTTAATAGTTTTTGGAGTGATTTCCACACAGCTCCGTTCCCGTCCTCTCATCGCAGGACACAGATATAAAACATGTACATTTCACATTAGGAGCAGGATGATTACAGGAAGACGTTTTCATACATGATCGTGACCATCACGTTTATGATCATGATGTCATCACTGGCAAATAACGAGTATCATTATCTCAGTATCTGTGAGCTAAGAGTGGAACTCAGAGGTCAGCCGCTGTACAGGAGAACACTGTACTGTATCGGGGTAGGTGATGGCGGACGGCGTGTCACAGATAACCCAAAGAATCATGTGTCCCTGCAGGCCGAGGGCTTGTGGATGAGTTCCACCAAAGAGATCCTGCTGTTCCGACAAATCCTGCTCAACCCTGTCACCTGCCAGCAGTTCCAGGACTTTGTCTACTCGAAGGGAGGCTTCCTGGAGAATGATGTGCTCTTTTGGTTAGAGGTGCAGAGGTACAAGGTAAAATATCTTGTAATATCTATAAGAACAAATGCTTTCTCAGTCTTGTCCCGTCTCCCTCAGCTGTAAACCAGAACCAGCCACCGGTGGATCTTTGAAATGTCTGTTCAAATTTGACTGCTGTTTCTAAATGAACACTTTGCCCTCTCTGCTTAGAAGTCTTTATTAGCCAAACCTACTGTGTTACTGTATATCTGAGCCAATATTTATGATTTGTGAGTCCAACTCTAAAAGCAAGTCAAAAATAATGTAAGAAATGCTTGATGTGCAGCCCTAGTTTTCCTATCTCGGTGCAAAAATTCCTCAATGATTGCAAACATTTGTGGAACAGTGGGAACACAGAATTGTTCCCATGTTACTTTTCATTCCTCCTTTTCCCTCTTTGCTTTTGAATGCAGGACCTCTGTCATTCCCACAGTGATGATGCCACCATCCAGCAAAAAGTCTCCACAATCATCAGCTGTTTCATCAACTCTTCCATGCCCCCGGCCCTGCAGATAGACATTCCTCCCCAGCAGGCTCAGCACATTCTGGAGAAACGCCACGAGCTGGGCCCTTACATCTTTCGAGAGGCTCAGGTACTCGCGTCGCGTGTGCGGGTCGAACATTTACAGACTTTTTTCTCTTGTATGTGTGCTTCAAGCTATTCTTCTCTGCCCGTAGATGTCAGTGTTTGATGAATTACTGAAGCTTTGGCCTGAGTTTCAGGAGCTTATCAGCAGCATCCAAGAGGAGCAACTCATTCCTCTGCTGCAGGAGAAACGATTCAAGCACAGAGCCAGAGTAAGGAGACAGAGAAGGAGGGAGGAAGAGGAGGAGGAAGAGAAAAACAAAGGAAGGAGGAGAGCCCAGGTGAGGAAACGACATAAAAATCTGTGACAGGAAAAAAAAACGTAATCAAAAATCGAACTCTTTGTTCAGGAAGACATGGAGAGTCAAGAGACCAGAGTTACAGAAGAGGATGATGATGATGATGAGGAGGAGGGGGATGATGATGATGATGATGATCAAGATGAAGCAAATGAACCAGAAGAAAGAAGTGAGAAAAAGCAGTCGAGCACACGGAGCAGAGTGTTGTTCACACCCACACAGACGGTGAGGAGCTGCCATGTGTTTGTCGTGCGGGTAAAGCTGCAAATGTGTTTCACGAAAATGAATTTAAACCAAAAATCAACGATATCTTTCTATGTGGGAGCACAAGATGCTAAAATAAAACTCCCTGACAACACAAAGTCCAAACAAGGCCTCGTCAGTCTCGACCACAGACCATAACGGAGAAACTCGATGCTCTAATTGAACCGTTTTTCTAATCACGTTTGATGCAACTTGATTTCTGGGGATTTGTCTTCAGCTGTCGTGGTCCTACTCCAAGTATATGGCAGGTCTGAAAAGAGAGGAGGTGCTGCTGAGACGGAGTCAGCTGGAAACCACCTTCTCCACGGCCTCAGGTACTCGCACACACACACACACACACCGCTTTTTTTCTCTGAGCTCAGCCAGGCTCCCATATCCACGGTTTTTGACTGCTACTATTCAGATTAAATGCAGGAAACCATAACAATGAAATGACATTTTGCCTTTTTCCCACAGTAAAATCCAGGCTACATTTTCCAAGGCTTTGATATTACGCGGCAGTTGAAGCCAAAGTACTGTCAAACTGACCTGCTCCACATGTCTGAACTGTCTCATTGGGCAAAAAGTTCGGCCAAAACAGCCACTTCAGCCCATCCATTAATTATCAATGTTCTGTGAACGAGTCAGCTCCAGGCCATAATGAATGAGGATACATGGAAATGAAGCATAGTGCAAATGGTGTTTTAATGGGATGGTATAGAGGAGCGATGCTGTTAGGATCACAGATGGAGATCATCACTGATGTGTGCGGCAGCCACACATGTGACACACGAGCGCTAAACACAATGTCTTTAACAGATAAATAGCCCTTCTTATTCTTATTGACTGCTGTGTTTACCGCGTCTTCCTCCCCCTGCCAGAGTCCTCTTCTAACCGTAGCATTAAGTCAGCGAGCAGCGAGCAGAGCTACCGGCAGCCCTCGCAGCGCTCCTCCAGAACAAACGGCAAACAGTGTAACAGATACAACCGTGAGTGGACAAGTTGTAGAAACACTCTCTCAGCAGCCGTTTTGTCTTAGACAGGACAGGCTGGGCTTTATTTTATTATTTTTTTTAAACTGCAGGAGGTGTTAGAGCCTGAAGTGAAACCAGAGTGTGAGGAGTGACTCCATGCAGCGTGACTTTAACAGGGGAAGGTGACCGACGCCGTCATCGGAGCGCCAGCGCTGAAAACCGAGAGCTCAGAGGCTACTGATGTATGTCCGAGTGTGTGACAAACACCACGCTGTGAAACGCAAATCTCTGACACTTGAGATAATTTCATTTGTTTAATAAAAGGTTTCTCCATTAATATATTATAGATTTAAATCTTCCATAGAGCTCAGTGGTGAAACAATACAAAAGGCAACATTAACATGTTTGCATCGTGAGGGATTGGCATCGACAAAGAAAACAGTGTTACTGTCAAACAAGTGTTACATTATCATCTTTAAAAAACATTTTGGTTTAGCATCGAACATCCATCAACAGATATATAATATTGCACTTCACATTGGCATGAGACACCGACTCATAAGCAGAATGTAAACACACAGAGCTGCTCGTGCAGAGTGAACTCTTCCAGATGGGTTAGTTAGGAAAGGCTCCGACTGCTGCGGCCTGCACATTTGTATCTGTAACGGCGACAGAGCTCTGATTGGATTTAGTGTCCACTGAAATGTTTTTCCACAATTAAAACTGATCCCGCTAATGTTCTTTGTGACTATGTGGTGACTTTTCTTTATCAGAAAATATCTTTCAAAGGCAATTTCTAGGAATTCTAGACACGTCTAAGGCATGGTCGACCAGGTGAACACATCTAGATATAAAACCCCGTCGTTTTTATACCAAAATGTTTTGCATAAATGAGAAGAGTCAAAGTACAAGATACTTGTTTTTTTTCACATTTTACATTAAATTGGAAAAATTGTTTCTGAAGCTGAAAGCCACACGTGAGTTTTCACGAATCAGTGGAATCCAATGCGTAAGGCTTTGTTCTTCACCGTGGTGAACTTGCTGACAAACACTTTTGCAAAGGCGGGGTCCACCAGGTAGCGATAACACTTGGTGACCGAGGGCGGGGGCTCTGTGAGCGTCACTGGGGGCTGCAGCTGGAGGGAAGCTGCAGAGGGGGAAAGAAACTGAGAGGCACGCATCACGTAATCCACCAGCCTCCGATACTGCTGCTCGGACAGACGCTCACGAACACCGTCACCCTGAGAGAGAGAACACACACACGGTTACACTGCTGCACCTGCCAGCTGCAGCAGAGCTAACTAAATCATACATCAAGGTTTAGGAATGCTTGTGCACACTGCTGGAAGAAATTAGTCTGGTCTTAATTAACTGCGGCACGTGATGCCATTAACATCAGTGCAGGAGTTAGAGACTCTGACTCCGACTGTGTGATCGCTGCACAGCTTCATTACTTTTACAGCCTCACCTCAGCATCACTAGTAACTGTCTGCTGCTGTAACGTGAGTGTGAGCTCGCCCTGCTGTCCTGGTTCCTGCTGACACTCCACCTGGAGGCGGCAAGTGGTTTAACATTCACGTCATTATCTATAAAAGGCCCACGAGTTGTTTTCTGAGGAATGTCATCAGACTCTTTAATTCTTTGTGAGTTACCTCTGTGATGGGAAAGGCCTGCTGCTGGGTGTCCTCGCTGAGGCTGACGACAAAGAGCACCTCAGACGTGAGCAGCAGACAGCCGGCGTGCTCCTGACCCGACCCGCTTACGATGGTCACATCCAGGGACATGTGGAGCTCTGGACGCCCCAGAGACTGCAGCATTTTCCTGCAGTCAGAGAAAGCAGGGACGAGTAGACGCTATGAAACCAGCTGGGATCTTTATGTTACCCTATAATTTAGAACTATAGACACAACTCCTCCTGCATGACATTTGTGTACATGTACACACGCACAATGAAAGCCTCCATTCAGCCTGCTAACATCAGATATACACTTTGTCTATAAACACGAGACCAAATGTGTCTGCGTACATCCTGTAATTTACATTTCTGCTTGTTCTCAGTGTGGTTCCTATTACACACATACTCAACGGGGAAATATGTGAGCAGGAACTGAAGTGTTCAGTCATGTTTCTCTGACAGCGTGTTTACTTTGGAAGGCAGGTGTTCGGATTGCGGAGCAGATGTTGAGGCAAACACAGTAGGGACAGTTTGGGTCTGCTCAGTGTTACTTTGCTCAAACAGTCTGACCCCTCAAGTGTCTGGGCTACCTGTTGTAGTAAAAATAATTGATGGACGCCTGATGGAAACCAGTTTGACTTCTCTGCAACACAGGGGAGCATTATCTCAACATTTGTGTATTTTATATCAAAATATAGATTTCTTTAATCTTCTTCTAACATTAGCACAAAAAAAGTCCCTTGAGTGCTGAAAACTCAAGTGGAATTTCAAATTTGGAATTCTTCCTGAAGGCAGATGACAGTCGACGCTGACTGCTATTACAAGCAAATGTTTGATAGCTATGGAAACCAAACTAAATGAGAATAATTCTTCAGAAAATGCCATAAATGCTTTTTCTGCAGCTCCCGATAACCTCTTGGATACACAGGCCTCTCATAAATCTTTATGATTACATTAAGAGTTCCAGTGAGAACATACTGGAATCTTTGAAACACTGAGATCTGACGCTGTATATACAGCTCCTCGGAGCCAAAGGTAACCTGCTTGGCAAGCACATGCAACCTTTGTAAACCGAGTCTCTCCAAACTACTCAGGCATGCACAGAAAGGTGTTCCCCCTCCATGTGAAGGTACTGGGAAACATTTCTGGATAGACTCAGAGTTAAACAACAAGAACAATTTCTAGCTGGCGGCTTTGGCAGAGTGCTTATAAAAACCTTTTAACATGGCTCGATGAGAACAAGGGAGGGCAAGCTGGCTACCATGTGTGGGATCAAGGTCAAACATCTTTGCAGGCTTGTTTGGAGGGGGGGTGGGGGTAGGTAATGAACTCTCCAAGGTTTTTTTTTCTTTCTTTTTTTAAACAAAACAGCAAAATGATGAGAGGTAATGGGGAGGAAAAGAACAGCAGATCCTGGTGAGAATCCAACAAAAGCAAATAAGCAGAGGCGAGAACACATGTCCCACTTTTGAAGAAGAGCTGGGCAAAGGTAAAGGAGGAGTTGGCGGGAATAAAGAGCGGCTGCAGGTCATACCAGACATATTTAAGATGGCTGTTTGGGGCCAGAGCAGACTTTTCTTCTGTAGGCAGGTAGAGCTGTTTGGGAAGCTGCCACAGTCCTGCTCCATGAAGGATCCCTGCAGAAATCAGGACAGTTGACAGCTGAGTTTTGACAGAACTGTGGATTATACACATGCTCTGCGTCTGTGTTTCATATACTGGTAAAAACAAACACTGATTAGGATGATTTTGCGTGCGTGCGCGTGTGTGTGTGTGTGCGTATTTATGCCAGTGTGAGTTCATAACCCCAGTGCGTGTGGTCAGTTTTCTTTCAACCCTCTCTAGCTGTCAGCAGAGCGATGGCAGCAGTGAGCCAGTGAAGTCATCAAGTAGTTAAAACAAAGCAATAAAGAATCCAATGAGCTCCATTAATGATGTCACTGCAGTGGTACTCGGCAATGCTGCGCAGCTCTGAGTGGGTGTTTGTGGATCCATGTGATTCATAACAGAGCACAAATCAGTGAACTTGATCTGCATGTGTAACCAGATGATTGGATTTTTTTTTTACTGAATATATTGTTGGAGCGAGTGCCAGTGGGTATGCTAGTGTGTGTGTGTGTGTGTCTTTCTGCTGATGATTAAGTTTGTGTGTCTGCGGAGCTCAGAGTTTCAGGTAGATCAGAGCCAGGCCCCGGGGAGGTAGCGCTCTTTTATGGAGCTCCTCATCTTATTGGCAGTTTATGTGCTGTAGCCAAAAACTGCCAGCACGCACCTCAATCTTCTATCTCCAATATAAAAAAACAAACATTAACTCCACAGGATTAAACTGGCTGCATGTAGAAGTAGTAGCATGTGTAGGCAGGCCTGCACTGTGTGTGTTTCAGCTGCTCTCTTCTGGTTCCTGGCTTATTAACCCTTAGCTCCTGCCTGAAGCTGAGAGGAGCGAGATCGTCCATGCTCTGACAAACTAACTCTAATCCACACATGTGTTCATTGTTGCTGAGAGCTCCTTGGAAGAAAGACTTAACACACAGTCTGTGCTAGTTATATCTCAATAGATCAAAGAGCTCACTGCAGGACATGATGGGCTGACAAATCCATTTGTAAATAAAGCTATCAACTTTTTCTGTCCAAAAAGTTCTTAAATCATTGGCTGGTCTTCAGAAACAAAATAAGGAAACATTCATGAATTTATTACGAATGCTGTTATCGTTGACCGTGCTGAAGTTACCGTATCCAGTCTGGGAAACCAGTTCTGCTGCTCCTCCAATGGGCTTGGTAAAAACCCCCACGATGCCTTTCCCCACTCCAGAAATCACCCCTTTGGCTTTGCTACCAGCTGAGCTCTGCATCTCCCAGTTCCTTTGGAAGTTCTGCATGGGCTGGTCCACGATGCCGGCTATTGCTCCTGACAGAGAAAATGAAAAAGTAAAAAGTTAAAGAAAACTTTAACAAAATACAAAGCGCTCAGTGACTTCAAAACACCTCTCTAGATTATTGATAAATTGGTATTAAACCAGTAAATAGAAATCACACAGGTATTCAGACATGCTTTTAACCTATAGATCAGGGGTCGGCAACCTGCGGCTCTTTAGTCCTTATAGTGCGGCTCCGCGTGGTTTGAGTGTATTTTGATTATGTTAGTTCTTTTTTTTTAACTTGTACTTCTAAATTGGAAGATTATTGTGATAGGGCCTAAATAAATATAAAAATAAAATTATATTTTATTATTTTTTCATCGCTCAAAATAAGC